ATTATAGTTTTTGCTTAATACCTTTCAGTGCCTGCTCATTTTTATAGTTAAGATCATGAAATATGTCAAAAGTCATAGTATACTTTAAAATATTATATAGGTATTGTATTAATGACTTAAGGGATTACATTATGTTGATAGGCTGCCTTGTGCCAAATTGCTATTTAAATTGTTTTCATTTTAATGATCACTCTTCCCTTTTTTGTTTTTTTTCATTTTATTTCCTTATGGTAAATCACCTTCAACAGTATCACCGAATCAAAAATAGGATTTTGTTAGCTTCACATGAATATAACAGATTTATTGCAGCCACGCCAGCATTGTGTATGCTATCTCTTTAAGTTAGTAGTTATAAAATATCAACTCAAAAAATTTATTGACTGCCATTTATAAATTACAAAGTTAGTAAGGCTCTCTGTATTTGGTTATTTGAACTTCTTCTTTGGAGAGTTTTATGCTCACAGCACTGGAAGCAGGCATTCCTGGCCCCATTATTGCATATTGAACATTGATGTACGTGGACCAATAAAGACATTTCATGATCCTCTGAGAAGTTGTGTATATAAGGCCTCCCCTCATGGAGGAGTGTGCATTTGGCTATATAATATAGTAAACATGATTATTGCCCATTATAACAGACAGTTGCTCTATCCTTCAAGTTGACAGTGGGTATGTTATTGGATGGATATGTAACCATAATGGAAAATAAGCCACACAGATTAAAGCTTAGACAAAGGGAAATATAGGAGCCATTGTAGATCACAGGTTAAACACAGTGTCTCATCTCATATCTCATAGTGACATATACAGCATATCATTGTGTCTAGCATTTTTATAGCTTTACCCAAGATGCCTTAGATAGGAGTGTTAGTCTATCATGTTTACTATAAGTAGTTGTGTCTACCTTTTGCTGTTTGTCTTCTCTTTGTCTTTTGAATTATTTGTTTCTCTTTCTGCCCTCTTTTCAACAGACATTCTTACTCTTATGTTTTATGTGTTGGTTTTTTAATGCTCTATTTCCTTGCATTTTTATAATGTCACTGTAGGGATTACAGTAGGCTTCTGCTTTTCTCACAATCAATTTAAAATTACTATTGGATTAAGTTTGGTAAAATAATGTATTATATATATATATATGTAGAAACTTTGAAATACTATATTTCCATCTTGGCCTCTCTATCCTTTGTCCTCTTATTGCCATGTATGTAATCATCTACTTTACAAACCAATATGCAGTATTACAAGTTGGCTTTCAGCAGACATATTTCTTCAAGAAATGCAAAGGAACAATGTATGAAAGTGATAGTATGACACCCGGGTAGTTACTAAAATAGTCTGTCGCTAAAATAAATCTTATAATTCACTACCATGATGTTATCCACTATGGGAAAGCCACGTGTCATTTTTATGACATCTAGAGGAGGCTCAGCGTGGAGTACAGCACCAGGGCAATGCCGAGCGGTCAGTTGGGCCCATTCACTTGGGCCTCTTGATTGAATCTGTCCTTGTCAAATATTGCCTTGATCATAGCCCACATTGCCCTACCTAACGGCAAAACTGAAAATATGAAGTTCTTGACTTTCAAAGACCTGCTTACTGCCTGTGAAATCATTTAGTATTCAATGATTTATTCATTGTTTAAATATATTTTAAGATTTGAGGCTTATGCCTTTTTGGGTCTATGTAGAACAGGCATTTTAGTCACTGTGTGATAATATAAGCCACCAACACTGTTCGCCTTGTTGAAACAGTGCTCATTTGCTTACAATATGTAACACTTGCTTTACTTCCCAAAGGAACAGAAAAACAACCTACAGTGCTTTAGGTTACAGTGACACCTGGTGGCAGTTTTGTTTAGACTTTTTTATTTGATTCTATGTTGTCTGTAACATTTTTTTGTAAGGAATCATTTTATCAGTTTGGATGTGTGTTAGGAGGCCTGTCCTTTCTGAGCCCCACGGCACCTTCTGAAACAGATACTTGCGCCAGAAGCCCTGCCAGAAAGAACGTCCATTGTCCCTTACCTTTCTACCTTTGGCTTGAGAGAGATTTGTGCTCTGTGTAGAGAAAGAAGTCAACAAAGGCAGAAAGAAGGACCTTGTTACGTGGTAAGATTGGCAGAATTTGTAGTAAAAGTATCACATGAAGTATTCCCAAAGAAGATGCACGCTTTTTGAGAACATGACAGGCACATTCACACTATATCTCTGGTATGAGGTCCATACTATAGATTATCTTATTATTGTATAAAAGTTAAGGGTCAGAGAGAATTATAGGGAGAGAGTACCTAACATCACAAGTTAATCAACTTGACTAAATCTCTGGGGGAAAAAAAAATTTAAAAAAAAATCTCTAGGGAAATCAGGATTTTCAGACGAATGCTATTTCTAATTTGGACAATGGAGGAATTTAAATTTAAATGCTCCAGTGTAATTTTAAAACTTGTATACATGTTGCATGAATATATTTATAATTTTTTGAAAAAATTAATATTTCCAAGACAGTTGAATTCTTCTCTGATATCCAGTCCCAGTCCCTTATAGCTTTAAAGCTGCGATATTTTAACTTTAAAATGAGTGTTAGAAAAAACTGCTCACCTAAAAGGTATCCTAAAAGATAAAGTATATCACCTGGGATTTTTTAAAGCAGATAATGGATAAAAAGATTTCGAGTGTGCTGGTGGGCGTAGCTCAGTCGTAGAGAACAATGTCCTGAGTTCAACCCTGAGCGCACGCGTGCGCACGTGCAAGCACACACACACATATACTTGGAATATGGAATGTGTCTAATGTGATGTAATATACATTTCAACTAAACATGTTTTCATGCAGATTTAAAAACGACCACGTTCTACATTATCAGCAATTGGTTTTATTTGACCAAAATGCCAATTAAATCAGAAGCCTTACTGAAGAAAAAAAAAAAAAAAAGACTTCACTTTATAACAAGAACTTTTCAGATTTGTCTTTGAGTTGTTAAAATAATCATTTTATGTAACTAAAGTTATTTTGGTGACTGCGTTTAGTAAGGGTGTGGTGCGTTCCACTTAGAACATTTTAAACTCTTACATGATTATTCAGTATTCAGACCCAGCTACTAGGGGCCATTTCCTTTCATTCTTGTCCGCTTTTAAACAGTTTACATGGATTTTTTTTTTCTCTGCAATTTTTACCCTGATTTTCTTCACTTAGAATATATCTTAAAAATCAAATGTACAAAGTAGGCTGTTGTCGTGAAAGGTTAACTTCCCAAGAAGCATTACTGTCATTTAAGAAAAGGTTGCTTCCAGTGCAGCTAGGAGTTCCTTACAGAAGTAAAACAACCTTACTTGGAATTAGTTTTTGGAAACTGGTATTCATTATTTAAAGATCAAAACCCAGATAATTGTTGTCACATTGTTAAATCACCAGGTATAAATAACATCATTCACTCATTTATTTATCAACTGTTTACCAAGACCTTTCTTCCGTGCCACCCAAATTCTGGATGTGCAGTGTGAGCTTTGAAAGAATGAATTAAGTGACACAGAAAGCAGTGTTTCTTCTCGAGTAATTTGGTCCTAGAAAGAGAGAGAAGGAACTGTCATCAGATCTGAGCTCCAGGGGCGAGAGACTGTGGAAAGCGAGGGGAGAGGTCAGGCTGGCGGAGGTGTAGGCGTGAGGGACAGCAGTGACCGCAGGATGCTTCTGAAGAGCGGACGCGCGATGCCCAGGTTGAACGATGACCAGGATGACAGGAGGACTGATCCCTCCAGACGCGCTTGCAGAAGCCCAGACAACAGGGTAAAGAACAGGATGCGTGATTCGGTCCTTAAAAATGCCGCCATCCCATCAGTTCGGACAGAACACCACGAGTTCGGAAGCCTCCTGGTGCGGGTGTCTGGGCGTCGTCATTGGTGCCCCTGAGATCTCTTTCCTCTGTCACTTCTCTTCATGCTGTCCCCTTCTTCAGGAGGACCCTGGTCACTCAAGCCAGGCTCAGAATCCTTTGGCTTCTTGGTCCCTTCCACTAATCACTCAGAGCTCTGCAGTACTCTCTCGTTTCTCTCTGTTTTCTTTCCTGTCCCACTTCCTCTTCCCTAAATAAGGCTTTCACTGTGCAGCAATTATTTCCTAATTTTCCTTGCCTGCAGATGTCTAACTAGAGTAAATTCTCTAGGATACAGACATGGTTGTGCCACCTGTCTCCTTGTAATCTTTCAGGGCCCTCTGTAATTTAAAGAAAATGCCCAGACCCTTTAGCTTGGCATAGAAAGGTCCCCATCCTCACCCCACAGGCCTCTCTGTGATAGCCTCACCACCTCCTACCCCAACCCTTGTAGCTCTCTTCTCCAAATCCCTGCATCTGTGAGGCTTTGAGCAGCTTCCTTTTTCCATCTGCTCGCTTGTTCTTTCTGATACACCTTAAGCTTCACTGTTCATCTTTTCCAAATACTCACTAGGACTGTCTTCACCTGGTCGATTTTATTCAAGAGCGAGCCTGGTTTATCAGCCAACTCCAAAGTGTCTTCTGACTCACCATTAAAGCTTTATGTATCTATCTAGCAGGTTAGACTGTGTCTGGAGTGAAGCGAGGGTACCATTTATTTCTCACGATGTAGGATGTAAAACAGTCTGGTACATGCAGGGTGCCCACACAGGTTTATGAATGAATGACTCATGACCTAGAATAGCTTGGGAGTGTGTCACTTTGGTTTGCAGTGTAGTATTCTCATCTTGTAGGGCTGTTCTGTGCTGGTATTGATGACTTCTGCACCCAACTATTTTGTGCCCCACAGACCAATTTGACAAGTGAAAGAACCGTTTGAATAAGCCATTATTGGAAGAGAATGTAGGGATTAACCTGCTGTAACTACATTCATGTGTGTGTCTCTAGTTACAAATGTACTTCCTTCCAAATGTGACATTTTTAAAAATTTACTTTTATTTAGGTGTTTTGCCTTATCATTTGTACCCTAATTTTTGCTTTCCGCTCGTGCCATTGACTCTGTAACCCAGGAGGAAGGTAGCTTGCACTAAGGAAGCCGTCAAAACGGTTATACGTGTGTCAGCAGCACAGGTCAGCCCTGCTCAGTTCTGGACAGGTGTGAGATGGGACATAGCCGGAGCTCACAGGTGAGGAGCTGGAGTTCATGTCTTCTCCCATAGTCACCAAGGAAACGTGTGCCTTTTAAGGAGGGAGCCTGGGGAAACCTTTGGACCGTGTGGGAAAAGCATAAAATACTGAAAATCCTAAAGTAACCAAATCTCTGAGTGTGCAAGGCTGAAGCCAGAGATCCCAGGAAAGTTCTGGGGTGTACAGAACAGGAGGAGCACAAGGACCGAGCAGGTGGCAAGAAAGTAAGCTCCGTGCGGCTTCCTCACCCCCTTTCCAGGGCCAGGCCCCAGAGAGCTGGATTCCGATCTTTCCTGTAGTTTCTTGAAATGGTGCTGGGTTTCCCGAGGCTTCTGCCTGCTCCCAACCCCAGCCTAGAGAGCACTGAGCGACAGATACTGTAAACATCCTACACTCTCAGCTGTGGACAGTAAGGAGCTGGGAGAAGGCTGTTTACTCTCTCTGCCTTGGAAATCAACTAAGGAGAAGCGGATGGGGGGTATTTCTATGTCTTACAATCAATCCTATCCTGTGATCCCTTCTGAAGAAACTCTTAAGAGGAAAAAAGTGAATTAATGAATTCATGCTGAGAAATGTAAAATGAATGTATTAGTGAGCAGTTCTACAAGGAGAAAGGAAACTAAGGAAGTCACATTTAAAAATGTGGAATAATGTCTATAGTTATCATTGAAGTGTCTCAGAAAGAACGAAAAAGATTACCAGATAGCCGAGGTGAATGTGTTCATAGCTGGTGCGAGGCCACACTATATGGATTACTGTGACCTGGCCTATAAAGGCAAGAAAACACTAAGTGCCTGTGCATTAAGCCAAACAGTTCTCCATTAACCTGAGTAGCATTTATACGCTAAGTTTAGCTTTTTTGGAAGCAGAAATTGTAGTGTCCTGGAGCTTGCTACTTTATCAGAAATCAGAGGCAATTTGGAACTCCGTGCTTCAAGAGTGGTAGTGACATGTGATATGAATAAAAGATGCTATTTAAATCTAGAATATAGTTACACATTTCAAGAAAAATAGGATTGTGGGTGGTGCTTGGAGGTGAGGGATGGCCTACAAAAAGACAATTTTCAGAAAAATCTGCAGAACTAACTTATAGGTTCAGCCTTAACTGGGAAAACCATGGTCTTTATTTCTTCATCCAATAAATCATGTACATCAAATATTTATTCAACATCTAATCTATAATTTACCTAAATTTGAATCTTTTCTAATCAATTTAAAATAAGCCTTTTTTTCAAAGAGATCATTTAAAAGGATAAGGTATTTTTTATATAGCAAGCTCTTAAGAAATTTAATAAATGTCTGCTTCAAATCTTAAACAAATTTGAGCCAAATTGCTTGCATTAGTCTTGGCGTATCATTATATGTGTTACTTAAACTAGAAGACAACTCTGTTGCTTTAAAAGTATTAGAGGAACTTTTAACGTTCCTTCCTCCCCAAGTTTAGAGAATAACACAATAGGACAGCTTGTTTCATGCGAACCTAATGACAACAACAAAACTATATAAACACGACTCTAGTGTGTGATTTCAAGGAAGCGTTTGGACAGGCTCGTCTTGCAGCAGTAGCAGGCATTGTTAAAGTGCTTGCTGAGCAACTTGGTTTGGTTGAGTCATTAACCTGCCTAGATTTTGCCCACAGGCTGAAGGAAACCCTCCTGGAGACAAGTCACAAAGATGTTTGATATTTTGCTTCCTGCCAGGAGATGTGGATTTTATGGGTAAGGACAAAAGGTGCTTGAAGCAGACCAAGAGGAAAATCGTATGTGCTCTTTGCCTAAATTAAAGGGGGAGGGGGGGATATTGGGATAATCCAGACTCCAGCAGATATTAACTTTCAGGCATGAATGTATACACTGCAAAGCATGTTGAAATATGTGTTGATATTTATTCCATTATTCTAGAGACATGTATTGGGTACCTGCTCTGCAAGTTCCATGCAGAGGGCTTTCATGGGACTTACAGGTCAATAATGTGTCACAATTGAAATGCCTTGTTTATTGTATGTATCAGTGTAAGGTATCTATATTTAATATAATTCATCGCCTTTTTCAACCTTTCAAAGCCAAATGAATTTAAAGATTTGAGAACATTGATTTCACTATCTGTGAAAAATTTGTAGACATAATATTGATAGTCTTTTTATTCAGCATTGTTCCTTTGATATGGTCTCCCTATCCTAGGACTGGACTGCCTTGTGACATAGGTAGGTGGTATTAATAAGTCCACGTGAGCAGTCACTGTATGTGTACACATTTGATGAGAAGATCTTGTTAGTGCTTATGTTATATACAGTCATGTGTGTATGTGTTTACTTAAATGTTATATACATTCAAATTATTATTGTGTGTCTGTCAAGTAAGCATTCATGAACCTTTGTTCAAGTTTGCAGCCTTTTAAACACTGCTAAGAATGATTTATGTATCTTTACATTATATGTTTATACATTCCCACACAAATGATGCAAAGACTTTAAAAGAACAAAATATTTAAATGTAAATATCCTTATTTGAAAACATGTTTATTAGCAGCTCATTGTAAGCCTAACTGTGTTGTTAAAAACTCCATAGAAATGAAATGTTATACCCAATATATCATACTTTTATGAATTCGTAGTCTCCTTGTCTTTGCTTAAATTAGTAAATCTTTATAATTTATGTCTAGTGGTGATATAGTTCTATAAAATTACTCTGGTTTAATTTCTTGAGATTTAGATGTACTGCTACTCTTCATTTTAGAACTGCAGAGAGGAGATTGTTAGTCACAACATTGGTTTAGCGGGTGTTATCTTTTTTGGTTCACACAGTCATTGAAAAGCTGTGTGGTCCGTAGATAACAATCAGTTACAGTTAGAGTAAGTGCCTGATTTATGAACATTCCAGTTGCGAATTTTCAGAGATAAGGAAGGGCCTGGCGTTACAAACATTCACACATATGAACATATCACGGAAGTAGCTCACATGTCTCCTTGGCCGTAAGTGCATCACTGCCCCCAGTGAAATTCTCCTTTTGCTAAAAAAAAAAAGGTGTTCTATTTTAAGCTTATACACACACAAAAAAAAAAAAAATTTTTTTTTGTACTGTTGACATCAAATTTGGAGCTTTGTGTATGCCATGCAAGTACTCTACCACTGAGGTACATCCGTAGCCCATAAAAATCGTGATATAGTCAATCAAAATGAAAAGGGCTTGACTCCTTCAACAAGTTAAGTCCCAGGTGCTGATTTGCTCCACACAATACTTCCATCCCTCATTTACCACTCCAGTACACCTAGGCAGGCAGTTTTGGTTGTCACAGTAATGGGAGACTGTCACTCTGGTGGGCTTGGGACAGTTCCACTCAAATAGTTTCAGCCAAAATGACAGTAGTATCCCCACCAAGATAGATGTTCCTAAAGGTAATTTCCCTCTAGGAGAATTTGAACACTTGTAGATTTGTTTAACACACCTCTGAAGTGGGCTACATGGCACACTGCAGGTCTAAAAGAGATAAATAACCGCTGGATGATTTTTAAAACAACCCAAATTAAAGAATAAAAATCACTGACTAGGAAAATTGCCCATGACTTTGGATTGGTACCAAACATTCTGTAATGTGGAGTTTATAAAAGGTTTTGTCACCAAAAAGTCAAGTATAGCTTTAAAGTGCCTCCTCTTTGGCTTAGAGAGAAAAATACTATTTTATCTACCAAGGTTTACAAGGGAAACCGGTTACGTCCACAGTTTGCTAATGTCATTTACTTGCGAATCTTGCAGCGTACAGGATTTGACCATATCACAAAGTCATTAGAAAGCTGTGAACTGGTAGCTGTACTAACACTGGGCTTAGAGATTCCTAAAAGAAATGTCTTTAAATCACCTTTAAATTTTAAAATAGTCCTGACGCAGTTGCTGGCCTTGCCATGTGCATATGTGAACAGGCCAGGTCTCTGCTATGATGTACTTCTGTGCCACAGTGGTGCCCAGTGTGTCCCTGCGGAAATGCCAGGCTGGAGTTGTCCCCTCCCATCCCGCTCCACTAACGTCCCCTGGGCATAGTCAGGACATTGGGCGGCAGCGGAAGCAAGCTGTCACCACCCGTAGGAAGCTCCTAGTTTTGTGGGATGACACCTGTGATGTGTGTCAGGTGATGTATGTTGCAGGGAATTTTGTGATGTATGTTGTGATGTATGTGATGTATGTTGTGTATGTGTAAGTGTAAGAAGTGTATGTAATGTATGTGTAAGATGTATGTGATGTATGTATGTTTGTGATGTTGCAGGGAATATTTTATAATTTTTCACGAATAATCTACTATCACTCATTCCCAGGTATTGATTTACTAAGAAAGATTAGGCAACAGGAAGCCTGGTTTCTATTCAATACTAATAATTCTCACGATCACCACTAGTTATCATGAATACAGTATACTCTCAAAACCTGGCAGCATCTGCAAGCAAATACTTAAGTGTCTTTACTATATGCTGAGCACTCTTCTGTATGTTTTGTTTATATAAACTAATTTACTCCTCACAATTAGATAATAGGTGTGCATATTATTTTTCAGATGAGAAATCTGTGGTGAGAGATATTAAGAAAATTACCCCAGGTATGTTTACAAGCCTTTAGAACTGGTATTTCAGACTTTGGCAACACAGCACCAAAAATGACCTCCAAACCACACAATGATATGCACACTGTCCTCTAATTTATTGTCTTACTTTTATTTATTATTTATCATCCCCATTTGGGGGAGGTGGAGGCCGAAGTTGAAAGAATTAAGAGACTGTTGTGGTCACTGAAGTTGTTTACAAGTACATGTATTCTGGGTCTCCTCTCCTGGCACATTAAAAGAAAAAAAGCCTCTACTCCATGACCTCTGAGGTTAGGTGTCCATGTGTGACTCACTTCCATCAATAAAATGTGAACAGAAGTGACAGGAAGTATTAAGAGCTTGTATACAAGCCAGGCATGGTGGCACACACCTGTAATCACAGGTACTCAGGAGGATTGCAAGTTCAAGAGACAGTCTGAAAATAAGAAAAAGGATTGGAGATGTAGCTCAGTGGTGGAGCGCCCCAGACTTGATCTCCTGTAGTGCAGGAAGGGTGTGTGTGCAATTAGCTTGTGCACTTCCCTCGAGCTTGGCTCAGCTCCTGTCAAAGCAGAGTCTGTGACACTCTGGATCTTTCAGTGACTGTTGAGCAGTCCCTCTCTTTGTCTGGCCTTGACATACAAGCAAATGGGTAAAATCCTAAGATTCAGTGGGAGCAGAGAAAGGTAGGAGGTAATGACCACAACATAAAATAGCCTAAACTAACAAACTCACCTAAGTACACATAAATGCATAAACTTCTATAGCTCATTGGTGCCAGATATATGTCTGGAATCCAAGTCTCTGACTTAACAGTTCATAGGATTGTTTGGTTTTGTTCTGTTTTAACCTGTGTTTTGGTATTATATGACCTGCAAGAACCCAAACTCCATTCTTTTGACTGCTTTCTGTCTAGCAATAATGAAAGTGCATAAAACGTTCAGCCCAATGTCTATGGTTCGTCCAGGACTAAGAACATGCAAAAGAAAAATCTCTCATTCTTTGGCCCATGTGTTTTGTCTGGAGCTTAATACCATGATTTGTAGTCTCAAAAAAAACTATTCTGACTTTTAAGTTCTGGGATTCAAGCTCTAGCCACAGACTATCACCAGTAATGTTAGCTAAAGGGGCTAATTAGTCATGAATGGTACTCACAGTACACACAGTTATCATGGTACCTACCAGGTGATACCTGCCTTCATTCCCTTGTGAGTTATCATTCACCCAAATCCTCTGACTCTGTAATCTCAAGTAATAGGATTTGATAGGTAAATATAAAGTAATACATTTTTTTTTTTTCACAAACGGCACATTTCCCAGGTTGGAGTGTTTAAATTCTGAACTGCAGGGATTTCTAACTCTTATCAACAGAATCCATAAGACAATCTAGCTATATAGCACTGTTATGACAATGAATGACATAGACCGCATGAAATTCTGAACATCTTCCCTGAGAACTATCTTCCTAAGAGCCACATGAATAGAAGAGTTGGAGAGCCCTGTCTCTTGCATTTTTTGAGTTACTGAATGACAACGGTAGGTACCCATGTGATATGGAAAAGGTAGAGATTCTATCCCTCTAACTAATGTTTTTTAAAGATGAAGCAATTATCAATTATTTGTTCAAAATTGATTCTGTGTGATTAAGTACTTTATTTATTTTATCACCAGATTGCTAACCTTGCATTCAGTAATTTAAATTCTTTTAAACTTCTTACTTGCTAATAATCCTGCCTCATTCCAGAAATGACAAGTTAATTACTGTTTGTGCACTAACTTCGGCAAATATCTGTTAAAGGATACTGAGTTACATTTTACAGAGTGATCTATCCACAGAATAAATGATATATGTTGGGTTTTTGTTGCTTTTATTTTAAAATAATCATAGAGTTACAGAATGTGGCAAAAGTAGTATGGAGATTTCCTGTGTACCTTTTACCCAGTTTTTCCCCGAATGGTTACATCTTACAAAGTTATTGTGGAATACTGAGAAACTGACCTGAGTATACTGTGTACATGGAGAAGAGTGTATAAATTTATTGCATGGGGAAGTTCACGTACTCACCACTATAATTAACACACAGGCTGTTTGACCACCAAAAACTCCTTTTCTGTGGTCATATCCACCCATTGTTCCTGCAAACCATTAATCCATTTGTCTTTATAATTTTATCACTTTCAAAACATCCCATAAAAGTTCTTGGTTTGGTTTTTTTTTTTTTTTTTTTTTTTTTTTGTACCGGGAAGTGAACTCAGGACCTTGAGCTTGCCAGGCAGGCGCTTGTGCCTCTGAGCTATATTCCCGGCCCCATAAATTTCTTAACACATAATTTTAAAGTAATTTCTGATGTGTTAATTAAAAAATAAAGCATCTCAAATATATTACTCAAATATATTACTATTCATATTAACAAACTAGAGATGATCTCAGAATTCATATTGAATAATCATGACTATCATACAAATTTGCTTTGGGATATAATTTCCAATCTTTTGTCTATGATCTAAGCACATACTACATTTTTTTTGGTACTTTATTTGAACTAGAATTTTCTTGATGGCTTGCACAGCAGTGCATTTCTGTTAGTAAAAATCATTAACAAATGCTCCTTAGATGAATCTTACACTTCTCTGCAAAATATAGTTCTCTTCTAGTGTCTGTGTTTAAGATCTAAGTATAGTCTGCCTTTGGGCTTCTGTTGTGTTCTATAAGTCAGGATTTGATATAAATCCAAATATGACAAGTTTGATTAAAAAACAATTTGGATTTTCCTTTTAGAACAGTATGTTCATTAACTGTACTACAGTTATATGGAGGTGTATTATGTAGGAGAATTTTACTGGAGATAAATTCCTATCAAATCCAGTCATTGGTAACTTACTTAGAAATATTTTTATACCCTTCCGTAGGTTGTAAGTCCCCTGTGTTCACTGAAGTAACCTATGATTGGATCACAGTCCATTGGGAACACATTGGCAGCCATCTGGCAAATGGACTGACATTCCGCCTGGGGAAAAGGAAAATAAAACAGAGATAAATTAAAACGTTGATCCATGCTGAGGAAAAGCAAGTGGAAAGCAGGTGACCTTACGTATGATGGTAACGAGCAAAGTAAACAATGGAACTTACCTTAAAGCGCATGTATGGATTTTAATCTTTGAGAAATCAGCTAGAAGGTAGAAAAACAAAAAGAATGAAGACAGTCTCTTGAAAGAGATTATTGGACCCACTGATCTGAAATCAAAACCAAAAATCCTAAATTTTATAGGTTGCTCGAATATTTAGCTACATCTTCAAGTAAGTGCACATTAACATTAAATGGTAAAGTTTTGTGAGTTCTATTCAACCCATAGTTTGTCACATATTTTAAAAAGCACTGAATTAAGAAACATCAGCTTAGGGGGAGGATTTGAGTGGCAAGCAGTAGACGTCCATTTTCAATCCTTCCGACATCACTTTTATTTTTACTAGAATAGAGACATTACTGGAGTTTTGGCTAATTTCTTAAAGACAGCAAGAAAATAATACCATAGTAGATTAATTAAGATGTGAGTACAATCTCAGCAGTGTGAAGGGATGGCAGGTCAGGTAGAATGAAGTTACATGATACAAATACAAAAGTCCAGCCTTGGCAGTCGGACAGCTAACTGCACAAAAATGTCATGAAAAACATGACTTGTTATCATCCATGTGGAAAGAGACGACTTTTCCTACCATTACTTATGTGCAAAAGGACATGACAGTCCTGGACATACAATTTTATAGATACAGATAAACTATACATGTCTATAACTGGATATAGATATAGTACCCAATAATATATGTAATATCCAGTTACACTCAAGATACAATTTTTAGAGTTGGAGAAGTTGTCCTAGTCTATTTTACATTGGTCAGATTTTCCAAATAGTTTTGTGTTCATTACTCTACAGAAGAGGTAAATGTAAAGTAGGACTTATCTCAAATGATTTGCCTTTTGATGAAGGAAACTCCAAAATCTATTATTGAAAATACAAGTGCATTCCTATTTTCCCATAATGAAGAAGTGAGGGAGGAGGATAGTAGCTTTGATTTGAACTTTGTTTTCCCCAAGCCACAAGAGGGTAACTCGGACCAGAGTCAAAGATACACAGAAGCAGAATTCAGCATAACATAGGGCCTTTTTTTGCCATGTTTAGAGAACCTGAAAACAGAATGAATTCTCTCATCTGAAGGCAGTGAGTCCATTATCTCGAGTTATTCTGCAGGAACTTCAGTATTGACTCTGGGTGTGTGTTATAGCAGTGCTCTAAACAATGGGAATGTTATGGCCCCTTCAGTCCTGGGATTTTATTAAATGTGCATCAACAGATCCCAGGTATGCCACTTATTAACTTCTTCAGTACCACTCAACTTCTCTGGGCCTCAGTTTCCTCCTACTCAGTGGTCTGAGGAGTGGCAGTAACTTACAAAGCTGTCAGAAAGATTAAATGAGGTTGAAGAACACTAATGGCCATTCCAAATCTCCCTCTCACATTCCCCAAATATCCATAAGATCCAGGAGAACAAATAAAACTATATAGGACCTATGACTTATGTGTTGAGACAGAAAAATCTGCACTTCAAGTCACTGTGAGGAAAACAAGATTTCCACAAAACTTTCACTGTAGAACCAGCAACCATCACAGCAAACCTGTTTGGCGGGGAAGGGCAGGTTGGGAAGCTGAAGCCTCTCCTTGGTGAACAGACATGAGCAGAGAGCTTAGATCAACACCTATGACGTCAGCTCCCAAGCAAGGAAGAGGAACTGCTCACGCAAGTGTTGAACCCAGGTTGGGATTTGGGCATTCACAGCCTCAGCTGCAGGAAAGGTGCCTGATGTGGCAGCCCCAGGAACAGTGCTTTAGAGGGAGAGTGAGGGAGAGGCTATGCCCTTGGATATGACAAGAGGGAGAGAAAGGCAAAGAAAAAGGAGAAAAGTGTCATTTTGTGGGGGAAGATTGACCGATGTATGGATATCAGTGTCCATTGTACTGTATGGATATCACAGTTGTGATGCTGCCCTGTAGGTTTGGAAGGAGCTGCACTAAGGAACTGGGAAAGAAGAACAGGAGTTACTGGGGTCTCTATTATATCCACACCTTTATGTAGATCTTCTGTTATTTCAAAATTCAAATTATTCTTCAAAACTGAAGCAGGACTCTTCATTCCACTTTCATAAAGGTCCTAATCAGATGAAATGAACTGTATTATATAAAAATATTTGGGTAGTAAAACTAAAGAAAAGAAATTGATTGTCATAAAACAGTCTCATTGTTTCCTCCACACTGGGAGTAGGAGATTGTCACTGGGGAATAGCAAAGGGGGTGTTCATGACCTTCAAGATTGTCTTGGTTACTTTTCTGTCATTGCTGAGACAAAATACCTGACACCCAAAGTTAAAGGAGGAAAGGTTTATTTAGCTCACAAGTCTGTGGAGGTTCCAGTCCATACTCAGCTTGCTCCAAGGCAGGGTGGCACATGGCAGAGGGCAACCATGCATGATGGTGAAGATAGCAAAAGCAGCAACAGCAAAAGGGAGGAACAGCCACAAACAACCTCTTTCTCTTCCTTACATATGCAAACTATCTGTTCCAGGGCTGTGTAGCCCTCACACCCGTAATCCCAGCATTGGATCATGGATCATAAACTCTGAAAGCCGGCCCCATGACTGCATGAGGCTTTGGGAGGACATGCAGACACAAACCATAACATTCCACCCCTGCCCCCTGAAGACTCATGTCCATCCCTTTATACAAATGGCATTTTAGTCCATATCTAAGAGTTGCCAAACTCCTAACAGTTTCAGCATTGCTGAAGTCCCAAGTGTCCTCCAAGATGTAAGGCAAACTCTTAGCTGTGAGCCCCTGTACAAATGAAAAGTTAAACACTTCCAATATTCAGTGAACGAAATAAACATTACCATTCCAAAAGGTACAAATGGGGATGCAAAGCATTGGGACCAAAGCACGTCGAAAATCCAGCAGGGCTAACATTAAGTCCTGTAGTTCCATGTCCAGCATCTGAGGCAATCTGTGGCACATTGTGAGCTCCAAAGGGCTTGCATGAGTCCACCCCTGTGGCACTTCCAGTGGTTGCAGCTTCTCTCTTGGGCCTGTTTTGCTTCTTCCTTGCAGCTTTCCTCAGATGATCCATGTTCCTGGCTTTTCCAACCTTCTGAGGTCTCCACTGCACTTTAGGCTTCTCATTCGTGGCTCCACATACTGCCCTCTTGTGGGTACACTGCCTGGCCTCCCAGGCTTTCTGAAATCTGGGTGGAAGCCTCTTCAACCTCAGAACTCTTGTATTCTCTATGCACCTAAAACCAGCTCCATGTGGATGAACTCAAGGTCTGCTGCCACCTGGAACAGTAACCAAGCTTTCCCCTCTCTCGGGCATAGAGGTCGAGTGCCTGGATCACTGGGTCCTCTGAATCCAGTTCTGAGGAGCAAATTCTCTATGCTGCTGCCATTCTGATACATGGCTCTCTGTGGCTTTCTCCTCTAAGCAAAGTCTTTCATCTTTGCAGTTTTGAGGCTGCAAAGGGTGGAGACTTGCTGCTGCTTGTGATGCCCTCAGGCCATCTTTTCTAGTCTCCTGTTCCTCCTCAGCAATGGAGATCTCCTCAGTTCTATCTTTGTAATCCATAGCTTTACTGGAGCTTCCTTTCTGGCCAAACTGATGTTTTAAATCATTCTGCTGGGCTCTTTGCTCTTGATTTTCCTTTGCTCTTGAGTCTCAACATAAATCTGGCTAAAAGCCCCCAACAGTATCCATGCCACTGCTTCAACATTCCACTGCCTTGAAATTTCTTCTGCCAGATTAATCAGTCCACCGCCCTTAATCTCCATCTTAGGCAGTCTCTGGACACAAGCAAAATGCAGACACTCTTTCTGCCAAGCCATAACATACATCGTCTGGAGTCCAGCATCCAATGCAGTTCTTCTTCCCAGCAGAAACCTCCTGAGCCTGGTCTTTACCAGCAGAATTTCTATCAGCCTCCTGGTCTTCTGAGCTCTGACCAGAATCTCCCATACAGAACAGCTGAGGGCATTCCAGCTCTACTTTTTCAGGGGAGAACCTTTCCAAACACTTCCCACAAGCCATTCCCAAAGGCTCTTGAACCACATGGTCAGGTATGGTCACAGCAATGACCCCACTCCTGGTGCCAAATTCTGTCTTGGTTACTTTTCTCTCATTGCTGAGACAAAATACCTGACACCCAGAATTAAGGAAGGAAGGGTTTATTTAGCTCTAAGTCTGTGGAGGTTTCAGTCCATATTGGGCTGGCTCCAAGGCAGGGTGGCACATGGCAGAGAGCAACCACTCATGGTGGAAGACAGCAAAAGCAGGAAGAGCCAAAGGGAGGAACAGCAGCAAGCAGCCTCTTTCTCTCCCTTACATGTGCAAACTGTCCACCCCAGGGCAGGTGTAGGACTCACGCCCATTATCCCAGCATTGGATCATGGATCAATCATAAACTCTAAAAGCCCACCCCATGACTACATGAGTCTTTGGGGGGGGGGGACATGCAGACACAAACCATAACAAAGATCTTTACTCTTCTGTATACTTTAAATTAATTTATTAAACTGTCCATTTATGGTTTTTAAATTTTTTATAAGAGAAAGTGCTGACTGGCAGCCCATAGTTTGTCAAACCCTAGTTTAGTGCTCAAAACAACTGCATAGTTCCATAAAGTAGAAATATTTGACCACAGTACAATAACACTGGAAATTAAAACTTAAAACTAAAAGATGTTGTGCCTGGAAATTAAAGCATAGTGTTGGGCTAGATATAGCTCAGCAGCACAGCACCTGCCCAGCAAGCGCAGGGTTGTGAGTTCAATTTCCCATACCAAAAAAAAACTACTTAAAACATAGTGTATTAAATAATTATTAGGTGTATGAAAAATAAAAAAAACCTGAATTTCTAAAAAAGAACAATAATAAAAACTATACACTAGAATAGGATACATTAAAGCAATGATTAGAGAATGATGAATGAATGAATAAAAATGAATTAAATTTCCAGCTCAAAATACTAAGCAAAGTACAAAATAAGTAACAGATAAAAGTATAAGAAAGAAATTACTAAAAATAGATATTAATGTAGTTGAGAACAGAAAATCAGAAATCACATTTTGACTCTTGAAAAAATAAAACGACAAATCACTAGGTAAATAAAGAGATAAACAAAAAAATTATATAGATAATAATTATGATAGAGTGGAAATTTTTTAAAAAGTCATAACTTTTGTGTGCCTACCTATATGCAAATAAATTTGAAATCTAGAAGAAATGGATCATTTCTTATGCAAATATTCTATACTCAGACAGACCCCAATGGAAGTTGGGTGTGGTGGTATATTCCCATAGTCCCAGCCCTCTCGGAGGCTGAAGCAGGAAGATCACGTGTGACCCCTGCCTGGCAATTTAGCAAGATCCTGTCTCAAATTTAAAAAATAAAGGGCTTGAGCTGTCAGTGTCTTGGTTACTTTTTTCTCATTATTGGGACAAAAATACCGGATGCCCAAAATTAAGGAAGGAGAGGTTTATTTCACTTACAGTTTGTGGAGGTTTCAGTCCGTACTTGGCAAGTTACAAGGCAGAGTGACACATGGCAGAGGGCTACAGCTCATGGCGGAAGAGCACAGCAAAGCAACAAAACCTAAAAGGAAGGAATGGCCCCAAGCAGCCTCTTCCTCTCCCTTACATATGCAAACTATTCACCCCAGGGCGGGTGTAGGTCTCACACCTATAATCAATCAAACTCTAAAAGCCTGCCCCTTGACTGCATGAGGCTTTGGGGGGACACACAGACACAAACCATAACACTCAGCAAGAAGGTCCTGGGTTCAGTCCCCAGTACTGCAGGAAAAAAGAAAAAGAACAGAACAAATAACTTTAATAATGTACTAGAGAATGTGCTCTGAGAACACATTAAGAAATTAATCTATGCAACAAACTAACTTTATATTGGGAATGCAAAGATGATTTCTATTTTAAAAGTTAATAAAATTTACTATGTAATAGGCATTTGGAAAAGATGATGTGATTTTTTTTACAGATGTTAAAGGTGACTTTGGCAAAATTCAACTGAGGACTTCTCAGTAAAAAAAAAAAAAAAAAAAAAACTGTAGAAAATAGCAATGGACACGGCATTTCCACTGGCCTCAAGAAAAAGGTCGGGTACCCACTAACTGCCCTATAATCTGGTAGTATCTGAAAGCAACACTCAATGTAGTTAGACTAGGGAAAATAACCAAAGGTATAGGAATAGGAAATGAGTTTGCTCAAATTTGTAGATGACATTATAGCATGTGTGGAAAATCCTAGAGAATCAATGATAAAATGAACTCAATAAAAAAATCAGTAGGGTAGCAGGATGAAAAATTAACATGTAAAACTCAGTATCACTTGTATGCACAAACAGGTACTAATTAGAAGATACAATGAATGCAAAAAAAAAAATCACTGTAGTAAATGGTAATAAAAATCATGACAATCAAAATATTTAGGAACAAACTTACCAAAAAGTGCCCAGAAACTATGTGAAGAAAATACTTCTATGAGACACAAAAATAAGCTTGAAAAGATGGAGACAGATGCTTTATTAGCACATCTCAGCATTATCAGGTTGTCAGTTCTCACTGTTACGTTACAAAAGCAACCCGAGTAAAAATTCCAGTGGACTTTAAATACCCTATGCAAAGTGAACATAGCGTGACAGAGAAGTGGGACAAAGACAGAAGAGGCAGGGAGATGCGCAGAGAGATTCCAGGCGTGGAAACAGCTTGCCTGCCGTGCTGCTGGGGATGGAGGGAGGGGGCCCCAGTACAGCAACAGGACCAGATTCTGAAAGGTGAGAAGCAAAGCCAGCCTGTGCCCAGCAAAGAAGTGAGAACTTCTCATTTCCCATGGGCAGCTGAGCTCTACCACAAACCACAATCCTGGAAGTTCTTTCCCTGATAACATTGATTTGGCCTTGGGGAACTAATGCAGAGAAGCAGCCATGCACACCAGACGTCTATGGAAGTACCGCATGAAGACACAGCAGAAGGCCGGGGATATAGCTTAGTGGCATAAGCGCCTGCCTGGCAAGCACAAGGTCCTGAGTTCGATTCCCAGTACCAAAAAAAGAAAACAGCAGAACACCACAAGCACTGCTGACCTCACACCCACGCTGCAAACCGGAGGTGACATGTATACACTCATTGTGTTATGGACAAAAAATTAATTACACTGATGTTAACTGAATTTTTAAAAAGTGAGAAGAGCCAAGAAAGTTTTGGAAGAACGATCACGAAGGAAAGTTGGCTTCTCCAGATTGAAAAGTTTCCAAAGCTGAATAATGAAAATGGAGTAGTATTATTCTCAGGAATAGACAAACACATTGATGAAATAGAAATATGAGCCTACATATGAGATTGTGTATGTTATAAAGATCTTTATAAGTTGATAGATACAAGGACTGGGGTAGCAGTGAGCAAACCAAACACCCAGCAGTTAGTTGGTCTTGGGTAAAAGGAACCAAGCCTTCTGGGAGAAAGCAGATTCAAGGAGTAGCTCAGTTTCTAATGAAAAGATCTGCCTGAGGCATTCAACATGTTTTCCTCTTCTATTCAAGTCCTAGCAAGCCAGCCATAGTTAACTTCTACCTAGTCTTTGTTGTTGGTTTTATTTTTATTTTTTTAACTGATACATAAAAAATTGTATACATGAATGTGCTGCCACATTACGTTTTGATACACATATACATTGTGTAGTATTTAAATCACCACCTGCTGTTGAAAGAGATTGTCAGTCGATCTTCCTGGGCTTCCATGAAGTGTATAGCAATCTGCAGCACATTAAAGAACTTCCACCAGTCTCAAAGTATCATGCGATTTTTATTCTGGGTGCCTGTGAACGTTTCTTTGAAGGCGATGTAAAACATGGATTTTAATCTCTATCGTGGCAAGCTTTTCTTATTTGCAGTTGGTTCCACATCTCCACTCCCATAATTTTATCACATACTACAGGTCTTTTTTTTTTATAATTTTTATTTTTTATTTTAAAGAATAAAAGAAGGATAACATAATAATAGGGGGGACTTAGCAAATTACAGACAAAATGGTAGGAAATTATCAATGGTTATCGTTTTACATATTATTATCTACAAAATAGTTTCTCAGGAAAACAAATAGACAAATAATAGTGAGTTACAGACAAAAGAGGTAGGAGATTATCAAGAGTTGTTGTGCTATACTTTGGTATCTTCAAAGTGGCTTCTAAAGAAAATAAATAGAGCTATACATGAGTGACCTATTGAAAAATCATTAACTATTCTCAATGGTTGTTGTAGGAAACACATAATAATAAACATACATTATGAAATAGGATAGGAACAATACAAACTTAACACAGTTATAGGTAGATTAGTAGGAAAATATCAATGGCTGCTGTAATACGTGGTGGTATCTTCAAAGTGGTTTCTTAGGAAGACAGAGATATGCAAGAAGGATCTAATAAGTAGTTACAGCCTAAGGGTTGTCAAAAATAGCATATTATCTCCTCACAGTGACTCCTTTCACTGAGGTATGATGGCTGGAAGGAAGGCCAGGATTGAAAAGAAGGACCGAGAGACTTGCACCTGTGACTAGCAACAGGCTGTCTTCTTGTTCCTCCATAGTCATGATTACCCAGGACTCCTCGATGGAGATGACGGTCTGGCCAGAGGGAGAAGGCAGACCATGCCCCAAGCCCTCTCATTCCTGTTGGACTAACTGGTAGCATGGGTCTGAGCTCTGGGGCCTCCACCTCAGAGGGCAGACTGATCTCCAGTGGTCTCCTCTGCATCCAGGGCATGGCCCATGGGGCCTCTTAGGGCAGTTCCTCTTGAGGTAGCCTGGCTTTTAACAGTGGTAGCATATGAATGCAGTAGTCGAGTTCTTCTTGGAGCCCCGGGAATCAGACCTGGGATCTGTTTCTCTTAGTGGTGCAGCAAAAGCAGCTGCTTTTTCTCAGTCTCTTTGTTTTCTCTCCTTGGCCTCCTCCTCATCATGGCTATAGAATACTGAGGAGGCAATTCTTACTAACATCTCAAGTGAGCTATCTGGGGTGAAAGCCATTCTTTGTAGCTTTTTCTCTCCAGCTTCCCATTGATTTGGGACCCCACAACCAGTTAGTGTCCTCTCCCCAACTGTCAGCACAGGCAGCAGGAATCCTGCTGCAGACTTCTCCATAGCTTCACCACAGCCTGTACTGTCAGGGGAAGAATGGCTTCCAATGAGTCTCTGCAGGTATTGTGCAAGGTCCTCCTGGTTTACAGCTTCCGAGCAGCTCTCGTGACCCCAGTCCACTGGACCTCTGACTCCGTGGGCTTAGTCTGCATTCTCATGTTCTCTGAGTCCTTGTTCAGCAGCTGCTCCTCCGCTGGCTCTGGACCTTTCTTGTTCCCAATGGCAGGAGCAAGAGTGGCTCGTTGTATGGCATATATTCCCAGGGGTTGTTCAAAGTTTGAATGATTCACACACATCCGTGGGTGGGCAACTGCAGTTGGTGCATGGTGGGCCAATTGTGTCACTGTTTCTCTGTGTCATGATAGATCCCAAATGAGCGGCGGCCGCCGGCCTAAGGGCCGGTGCGCAATAGCGCTCGCCCCCGCATGGCTCCCCATGCGCTGGGGGCCCACTCTCCGGGAGCCAGCAGGCAGGAAGCTAGCCAGCCAGAAGGCTGGCGCTCCCCACCCGCAGCTCCCTGTGCACCGGAAGCCCTCCTTCCAGGGAACCACGAGGCCGGAAGTCCACATACTACAGGTCTTAAAGTTTTGTTAGAACACAAAATAAATGTCAGAAAGGCTGCAACAGACTGAATAGCACACATTTTAGAACACACTCAGGATAGCACAAAAGAAACCCATTGGTCAAAAAGATTTGCCGTGTGGGTGTGCCGAAGCTAATTGGCCGAGAATGCGCCCAACAAGCTCACTGGCCGACAATGCAATTATCATCATAAGAGGGGATAGCATATAAGGGACAAATGACATTAGAAAAAAGTGTCACTCTAACATCTTGCAGATATCCACGTAATATTTTCATTCCCAACAGGATTTGAGCAAAGACACAGTTTAGATTAGCAGCCACGAAGGGGTGTCCAATCCCTGGGGCAGCTTACCTGAGGAACGCGCACCCACTGCCCAGAACTGCTGCCGTCCTGCCTTCCAGGCCAGTGGCTTTCACACCTACCACCAGCAAAGCAGATGTGAGCGCTGACATAGGCTGGGCGCAGGACTCAGGGTCAGCACAGTCACCGAGGAGATGGGCTATGCTTCCTCCTTGGAGAGGCGGGTAAGGGTGAGGAGAAGGAACAGAAAGCCGTTCTTCCGGGGGCTTTAGAAAAGATGGCAGTGCCTCAGTTCCAAGCCCAAGAGGGACGTCTGCATTTGGCCAATTACAAGTCCTGTGGTTTATTAAATGTGAGCTCCCTTTTCTCTAACAGGCACCTCTGGCTTCTCTAAACTGCTAAGCCCTTTCCCCTCTTTTCTGTGAATTTTCATGGCTGCTTGTACAGAGTCATTCAGACATGACAGAAAAGGCTCAAATGTCTAAATACTAAAACCAAAGTGCACCGCACATCAATCTAGTTATGTCAAATATATGTACAGTTTTAATGTCTGCTTAATTTTCTGTTCTCTTGGATAAAAGGAAACAGCAACGCAAAGCATTATGGGGGATCATGGATTTTCTTCTTTGCCTCTCGCTCCCTGTACTACCGGGTACTTACTTTCGGTGGCTTATGGGAAGGATTAAAAGTGAAGGGTAAAATGACAAATAGACACTGTTTCTATTGTCAGCCTCTGAAGTGCCATGAACAGCCTGAAAGTTCATTCAAGGTCTATGAAAATATTAGCAGATGCCAGCAGGCCAGCAGCCAAGATTTGTGTCTTTGTGAACAGACTGAATAGCTACCAGCAGATAGAAAAAATTTTAAAAGCCTTGGCAATGGCGGAAAAGTCCTGTGAAAAAGTGAAGAAGAGAAACATGTCTGAAGTGGACTTACGCACTTGTGAAAGAATGTTTTCTACAAATCCTAAGCCTCTAAGTGTATGGAAACCTGAAATTTTAACATTAAGAGAGGACATTTATTTATTCTTCACGTGCTATCTTAGTGATTGAAATAAACCTGAGCTCACTTAAGATCCTTTAGAGAAGGGAGCTAACATGCGTAATTGTTAGCAAAAAATTAATGTTTACAACAAGCAAATACGTAAGGTTGTAAGACTATTCTAGGTTGTTCAGAATGTTAATCTCATGACATCTTAAGAGATTTTTTTAAATCTTGGTAGTAAATTAATCAGTTGCATTCAGAAAATTATAACTGACCCTCCTTAATTGTTTTATGCTTCCAGGTATTTAAGTCAGAAATACATGGTTTTATTCATCTTTTTTAAAAATGTAGTCAACATAGTAAAGAATTTAGTCTGTTTAAAAGAATTGAAACCAATGGCAAAGTTCAAGGTGCTGCTTTTTTGTACAAAAGAATTTGAATTTGTAAGATAAAACATACAGGATAAAAATTTTTTTATTAATTTATTTTAAAAATAAAAGAAGGAAAACATATTAACAGACATCCATTTACAAAATAGCAGAAGAATAATACAAACAATACAGAGTTACAAACAAAGTGGTAGGAAATTAACAATGGTTGTTGTATTACTTAGTGATATCTTCAAGGTGGTTTCTCAGGAAAACAAATAGAGACCTGCAAGACTGATCAAACAAGTAATCATTAACTGTTCCTTTCAGTAAAACAATAGAAGACAGTAATACAACTATGTTAGCTATCCTGTATATACGTACATACATAATTTCCCCTTCTTTCCCTTCTCTTTTCCCACACCCCAGTTGCCCCTTACCCTTGAGCATTTTCCTTTTGTTTCACAATGTCTATCATACCTCCTAGTTTTTATTCACTCTTTCAGGTTCTTACACTAGTGTGAAAATACATTGCTTACACATGTAGATCTGATTTATTTCACTTATGAGTATGGTCTCTAGTTGTGACCATTTACCTATAAAAGTCTCGAGTACCACAATTGAGTCTGGTTACCAATCTTTGGGATTCAAGCGCTCATCAAACTTTAAAACATGTGAAAACCTCATTAATTCTTAGTCAACTATTTCCTTCATTACAAGTAGAATCCATAGTTTGATTACCTTTATGCTGAATGAATTTTTTTAGTTTTATTTCTATCAGTACGTCTTTGCAGTTCGTGATGACTACATCCCCATGTGAGCTGGCACCGGTCCATAAAACATCTTAATTCTTTCTTCATCCCCTTCCTTTTGCTGCTCCCTCCTTCCTCCATCTCTTTTGCAAAAGATCTATCATCCTGTTTCCTATTATCCATCTTCTATTTTGTTCTCCAGTGTATTTATACTTTGGTTTTGTCATATACGAGAAACCAGGCAATATTTAAACTTGGAGGAATGCGTGTGTTGCTTTTATATTTGTAAGAACAACTTCTATTAAAATATACTTGACTGTTATGGCAGAAGATAAACAGTAGAGGGCGCTTTAGTTCGCTAACAAAATAAGCTCCGTCCAAAACCTTACATAAATCCGTGAAATAGACAATAAAATTTGAACTACCAGATAAAAGGTTATATAAAAGCGTAAGCAAGCTCCTGGTTTCCCATGGCCTAATAAAAGAGACCTCAGCTAAGCAACAGCATCTTTCTTTGCTCAGTCCAAATAGCATTTGGGTGGTATATGAAAAACATGAATGCTCTGAGAATTGCAAACTAATGAAGCCAGCATTTCAAGACTACTTCATTAAAAAAAATAAACCTCATGCTTATTTTTAAATTGGCCGATCTATTAAATTTGCTTTA